ATTAAATTTGTGCCTTTTAGCTTCAATTTTTGAAACATGGTTAGAACTGTGTAGTGGGAAAAAAAAACATATTTTAAATCAATTAATTTATAATATATATATATATATATATATACACACACACACAGTGTGTCTCTCCCAAATGTACTCATTTTTGTATTCATATAAACATAAAAATATCTTTTTATTATAATATATAATTATAATAAAATATAAAAATATATAATGTTTTATATATATATATATATAATACTAATAATCTTATAAATATAAGCAGCTATACTCATCTGGCAAAACCTTAGGTGTTTTAGCTTGTAAATGAACAAACCAATACCCAAGGGAAAAACAAACAAAAAAAAGGAAAGAAAGAACTAAGAACATGTACTTCCGGTGAAAATAATCGTCTAGAATCAGTCCAAAGAAAAAAACTTCCGGCATGAGTTATATACAGTGTAACCTGGATATAAGAGAGTTGTCGGGACCGGAAAAGAAGTATCTTATATCCGGGTTTCTCTTATATCCGGGTTTGGTCTATTTTATATACATTAACACAGGCTCTAATTTGGGACCAGGGAAAATCTCTCTTATATCCGGTTACTATATATATATATATATATATATATATATATATATATATATATATATATATATACACACACACACACACACACACATTGACAGCAGGCAATGTAAGTTTTTTAAACATGTATAAGCCTATCTTGAAAAATGTCTGTGCAAACTGTTTATTTAGAACCTTTCTAAGGCTATTTTAAGTAAGATGGCTGAAAAGCTTGTATATTGTTGATGCAAATATTGCTAATGCTAAATAAAAAATAATTTGTTCCAGAATATCCAAGTTGCGATGTTAACTTCTTCACATGTGATAACAAACGATGCATTCCACAAAGATGGGTCTGTGACAATGATAATGACTGCCATGACAATTCTGATGAGAAAGCATCAATGTGTTGTAAGTAGAAAGAATTGTTTAATCCATTTCATTATTGACAAACGAATTGATGTCTTCTGTATGTCTCCCATGGAGTATGCATTTGGGTCTGACTGGTTGTGTGTGACAGTATAATTATGTGCCTGTATGTGTTTTTTTTTTATAACCCTATGTCTACTTGCCTGTATGTATGTTCAGATAAGAATATTACTACTTGATGGAAAAGCAAGAGAAATAAGATGAAAGAAATACTAGTTAAAAATGAATAATAATTGCCAAGGCTTCATCTAAGTAATTCAGACAACTTAAGACTATTAATACTTGGTGGAAAAGCAAGAGAAATAAGATGAAAGAAATACTAGTCAAAAATTAATAATAATTAACAAGGTTTCATCTAAGAAATTTAGACAAATTAAGATTATTACTACTTGGTGGAAAAGCAAGAGAAATAAGATGAAAGAAATACTAGTGAAAAATGAATAATAATTGACAAGACTTCATCTAAGAAATTCTTATTCTTTTAACCATTTTTTTCTTTATTAGTTACACCAGCACCAACATGCCCTACAGGACAGTTTCTTTGCAAAAATGGTGAATGCATTGATTATTCTGTTGTGTGTAATAAGCAACCTGACTGTTCTGACAGCTCTGATGAACAACATTGTTGTAAGTATTTTATCAAACTAGATAAGTATAAAATATTGCACAATGAGTGCTGGTGATAGCAAATATGAACAATGGAATATTTTTAGCAATTTATATAAAAAAAGATGTTACCTTAACAGTCATTTACAATATTAAAAGATTACTATCAGTAAACCGTTATATTTTAAAGAATTCTTTTAATGTGTTCTCTATGAATGTGTTAATAAATACAGTATTTAAGTTTTATTAAATCCCTAAGTTATTTGTAAAAAAGTTAAATATTTAAATTGCTAGCAAGCATCAAATTAATTTCTTGTTTTTTTAGTTTTTTTTTTTGAACATTTAAATTACTATCAAACATTAAAATCATTTTTTATATAAATTGCTAAAAATATACCACCCCACTTCTTCCTACATAAAACCTAATTACAGCTTCTTTCTCTTTACTTTTCCCTTCTTTCTTTTTTCTTTTTCTTTTTCTCTCTTCTCCCCTCTCATTTCAATATATCACTTCTGCTAAGTTAACTGTTTAAATAGGTCATGGTCTGGTCCCTCCTTCCCCAATACTAAGTATGATTGGAAGAAATATTAAAATAAATCCTCTCTAAACTCGACCATGTCTCTCACACCCCTCCTCGATACCCTCTCTGTTAAATTACATAAACTTAATACTACCCATCAAAAGTGTGAATTTTCATTTCATCTTTCATTTCATTTTTGGAAGTGTTATCTGATGATCCAGCATCCCTTAAAAGGGCTCTGGTGAAATAAATTATTATAAAAGTGGTCTGTTTTTCTTTAAAATATATATATACACATACACACACACACACATCCACACACAGAGCATACTATATGTGCTGTAACCCCTTCAGGACATGGACTATCATGGTTCTCCACAACTTCCTATGTAGTTCTTAGCAGTATATTCCCTCTTTGCTAATCCTCCCACAATGCCGTTTCCCTATCCATTCACACAAGCTCATTGGTTAGTGACTTTGTGAGTCTGTACCAATGTATTGGTATTATAGAAAGAAGACTAAACAGCAATGACTATTAGAGAGATTGGTTCATAAGAATGCACTTGTGGTTATTACTTTATTTTTCTCATTTATCTTGTAGACATCAACGAGTGTGAAAATACAGAGCTGAATCAATGTCAACACAAATGCATTGACACAATCACGAGTTTCCATTGTGAATGCCGTCCTGGTTTTTCCCTCATGAATGATAAAAAAGCCTGTAAAGGTAGGAACTGATTTCATTGCTTACAGAGTGTGTCAACCTTATTCAAAATGTACATACATTTTATTTAAAATGATAAAAATAGCCCAAAGTATAGCCAAAAGTGCTCAGACATACATGATAAAATAAGCAAACATAATGTAATTTATTCAATCAGACATGTCTAAAAGAGACTTTGCTGCCTAAATGCACACACACACATACACATTCAGCGTGTCCATAAAGTTCGTGTGCACTTTAAAAAATTTATAATTTTATTTGTATTTGCGATAGAAATAATCTGTAAAAAATGTTATAACGTTTAATGTACTTAGTTTTAAATACAGCTAAAAGAACTAATGTCATTTCAGGCATTACTGTAAATCAGTTGGCAAATGTTTTCCGTGGACTGAAAAATCGTATTACGCTTTGTATTGCTAATGATGGAGGACATGTGGAAACTTAAATAAAATTTCAATAAAACCTTAAAATATATAGATTTACTTCTTTCTAATCCTTTTTTAACAAATTATTTCTATCGCAAATACAAATAAAGTTATAAATTTTTTAAAGTGCACACAAAGTTTATGGACACCTTGTATATATTTGATTAAGACCCTAAATTGTAGGGCATTATGATTTGTTCCGATAGCTTTCTCTGCAGTGAAATTGATTTTATTAAGATGGCACTTTCTAAAAATGGATATCCTTTGGCTGTTTTGGACTCCATTATCCATGAGGTCATCAATAAATTTCATAGGGTTAAACTGTACATGGAGAGGACGTCTCAACATTTGGATCTGAGAATAAAACAACACTTACTTCCCTGGATTTTGAATCCGGATGCCAGGAAAAGCCAACTAATTAATACTTCTGGATTTTCTATTGCTGAGCATGTGATAAATAGCAGGAATTGTTTTTGATTTTAGTGGTGACTGTTTTTCTATTTTATCAAGGTCCCACTCCTCATATCACCTCAAGGTTCTAGAGTCCTTGTATATCAGATCCTGTGGGCCTTCCCTTTGTAAACAGAGGGAATGCTTACTGGGTCTGAATGTTATTGGACTCTAGTTTTCTTGAAATTCATTCCCTCCCCAATTCCATTCATTATATTAATTTAATTTACAAAAAAAGATAAAGATATTGTGTCTTCCAATCTGAAGACTTTACATCGGATGGATACTTTTAATCTTATTGTTCAATTTGGATCTTTTCTCAATCAGAAATAAAATAAAAAAAAAAACTCTCCAACAGTTTCTGAATTGTCTAAGAACATTTTTTAATCTAAAATTATTTGCTTTCATTGATTTTCTTCTGTAAAGAAATGAATGATTATCAGTAATCTTATCTTTTTGTATAACAATAAAAATAAAATAAAAATTTCTCTTTATTTTTGTTTACTTCCTAACCAAGGACATTGTTTTACCAATTAACTTGCAAACACTAACCAGCAGGTGCCGTTCAAATTTAGTCACCTAGTTTTTAGTCTTCCTTATCAAATTTTATTTTCTCCCATATTATTTATTTATGTTTTATAGATTTAGATGTATTTGATTTTTACTGCTGCATTTTTGTAGCATTTTTACCTGGCTGTTCTGGATTGTTTATAAAAACAATTTTATTCTTTACTAAATCTAAGTATTCTTGTGCCAAACACAAAAAACCTAGTTAGTAGAAATCGAGAAGAAAAAGAGAACTTGTGCTTCTCTTCACCCTGACGTCAAAATAGATGCAAATCACAAAATAAGACACGACCACTACATAAAGTTTTAAAGAGACATTTATTTCACAATTAAAGATGAAAAAAATGAAAATAAAAAATTTGCTTTAATTTCCTTTTATGCACCTAATTAACGCAGGATAACAATTTCTGATAAAGAAAAAAAAAAGATTTACTATTGAAAAATGGAACAAATTATAATTTGACTTTAGAAAAAGCTAAGAATATTCAATGATAAAAAGAAAAACAATTCAAGAAGGCAGAAGAAAAAAAACATGCAACAAGCCATTATCAAGGATGATTTTATTTTGACGTTTAACTGAATATATGGATTGTTTAATGTATATATCTAGAGTTATAGGAATGTTTTATTTTCCAAAGTATATCCAAAAGTGCTCAGGTATACAGAACATTCAGACAAGTTCTACATAATTTAAGTCTATGCCCAGAAAAGAAGAAAATTATAAGAACACAAGAAGAATTAAATAAATAACTACAGTACATCCAAACAATTACCATGAAAATATTTATAGAAAATAGCAGTGAGAAAGTGACTGAAGCCAAAATGTCAGGTCAAGGCCAATAATAAACATTCACAGGAAACCTATCTACTTTGTATAATGAAGGTTTATGCTTTATTCAAGCCATTAACTATTTTTTTGTTGTTGTTGTTAAGAAGACTAAGAACAAAATTACCATTTTTAAGCTTCCCAATTTTTGGTATGTCATCTAATGTTGAATCTGTATTTAAATTGAATCATTTCACAGTTATCTCCCTTTGATTTTCAGACATCAATGAATGTGAAGTCAGCCCTGAAGTGTGTAGTCAACAGTGCTTTAATAAAATGGGAAATTACACGTGCAAGTGTAACGAAGGATACTCAAAAGAAAATGATCAGCGTAGATGCAAGAGGAAAGACAGTGAGATAAACTTTTGATTTTTCATTTAACCCCCAAATCACTCTTCTCAGGGGGGGGGGGGCATAGGACTTCTATTTTGTTTATTACAATGACTCATCCTTTATTTGAAACATTTATAGAAAAGTAATTACTTGATTAAAAGTTGCCTTTGGGAAATTAAGTAAAGTATTAAGATATCTGAAAATATCAACAGAAACTTGTTTTTAGTAGTCTTTGAGGTTGGAAAGTCATGTGCTAATGAGTAAAAATGACTCTGTAGAGAGACTGTGTGGGTTTGAGTGTTGTTGAATTAGAAACAAGAGCTGTTTATTTCCTGCTAGACGGTCCAACTACAAGGAAATGGCAGACTCAAGTTGAGTCCACCTGAAGAGGTAAAGAAGACAAACAAGACCGATATATATATATATATATATATATATATATGTCAACAAATATATGTATTAAACAACGAAATTTACAATGGACATAGACATTAACATTTGTGTTTGTGTTTGAACGTAAAGAGTTTGCATTTTGGTGAATGTTCATACGTATGTGTATGTGTGTTTAATGTTCACGGCGTTTTCCCACAAGTGGGGTAACACTATCTTCTAAGAGAGCTTACATTGTAGATGTGTTTGCTGAAATGAAAAATTGAACAAGGCAAGAAGTCGCCCAGTATTTATAATGTAGGAAGAGTGACTCCTAGTGGACAATTAGGGAATTAAGGAGGAGATAACTCCGAAAACTCATCTTAGAAGAAATACAAGGTAATGATTGACATTGCATATGAAACTGAGCAGATATGAATGTTTTGATAATCTGAGAAGGATTTGCAATTATAAGGCACTCTGTGGCTGAGATGGTCTAAAAAAATATATATATAAAATCAAACAACATATACATACAATCTATATATCTTTGCTTATATAAATAATATTTTAATAGTCTGTTTGCATTCTTTCCTACACTAATATAACTCCCCACAGTAACCCTCTACCTTGAGTAGCTCTTGGGCCATGTATTAGGTGAACATCATTTACTCCTTTTTTTTTTTTTTTTCAGACATTACTCCATGGTTAGTGTTCTCCAATCGTTACTATATCAGAGAATTATCCACAGATGGCCAGATCTACCGTCGAGTTGCACAAGACTTTAATATGATAACAGCACTTGACTACGATTACATAGAACAGAGACTTTACTACATTGATCTGACCAGACGTCATATTCAACGCATATTTCTGAATGGCACAAACAAGGAAACTATTGTAAACCATGGGGTACCTTATGGAGAAGGCCTCGCAGTTGATTGGGTGGGAAGGTATGTAATCCAGATGTTTTTTTTTTTTATTGATACCCTGTTGGCAGGACCTAGAATATGTTGATAACATCCACTACAGTGCAGTAAGACTGCTTAAACAGTGGCCAGATTCTGGGTGGACACTTGAAGACTAAAGTATATACCTGAACAATATTTACCTTTAGACTTAAGCATAAACTTGACAATTTTTGGATGGATAATAATATATATGAGGCAGCACGGTGGAGTAATGGATAGCGGCTTGGATTCAGGAATCGGAGAGCCGAGTTCAAATTCCAGTCAAATCCATTACATTCACTTATGTGCTAATACCCTTGGGAAAGGTGCGAATCCTCCTCTTCTCCCTCCAGCTATGGGTAAATAGCAGGACAGACTGGGTTCTATAGCCTTGGAAGGCAACTGGTCCAGGAGAAGGATAACTCTGAATTCAAAACCTGTGGAGGGTCGTTTGGGGACCCTGTGGCACGTAGTCCACCAGGTCTCTGTATTCAGCCCTTCAAAAAGTGTGGATGGTCCTGCACAAAACCTTCACCACTATAATCAAATCCCATGTGCTGTTGTTGGGCTGTAAGTTTGCTAGGAACTGATCTGCTTGACCCTTATACGTCGAATTTGACCGAAGAGTCGAGTATATATATATATATATATATTTTAAAGAGAAAATACATTAAATTAGCAAAGGTCTGCTGACTATTTCACTTTGTTCTTATCTATCTCTGATCATATCTATCTATATATCTATCAATCAATCTCATTCTTTTTATATCTATCACCCTCTGTTTTTTCATATCTCTCTCAGTGTTCATATATGTCTTAGTCTGTCCATATATATCTACCTCTGTCTGTTTATATCTATCTATCCCTGTTCATATCTATCTATCTATCTCTCTACCTCTGTCTGTTTATATCTATCTAGCCATCTTCATATCTGTCTACCTCTGTCTGTTTATATCTATCTGGCCCTCTTCATATCTGTCTACCTCTGTCTGTTTATATCTATCTAGCCCTCTTCATATCTGTCTACCTCTGTCTGTTTATATCTATCTAGCCCTCTTCATATCTGTCTACCTCTGTCTGTTTATATCTATATATCCCTCTTCATATCTATCTATCTGTCTACCTCTGTCTGTTTATATCTATATATTCCTCTTCATATCTATCTATCTGTCTACCTCTGTCTGTTTATATCTATCTATCCCTCTTCATATCTGTCTACCTCTGTCTGTTTATATCTATATATCCCTCTTCATATCTATCTACCTCTGTCTTTTTATATCTATATATCCCTCTTCATATCTATCTATCTGTCTACCTCTGTCTGTTTATATCTATATATCCCTCTTCATATCTATCTATCTGTCTACCTCTGTCTGTTTATATCTATCTGTCCCTGTTCATATCTATCTATCTGTCTTCCTCTGTCTGTTTATATCTATCTATCCCTCTTCATATCTGTCTACCTCTGTCTGTTTATATCTATATATCCCTCTTCATATCTATCTACCTCTGTCTTTTTATATCTATATATCCCTCTTCATATCTATCTATCTGTCTACCTCTGTCTGTTTATATCTATCTGTCCCTGTTCATATCTATCTATCTGTCTTCCTCTGTCTGTTTATATCTATCTATCCCTCTTCATATCTGTCTACCTCTGTCTGTTTATATCTATATATCCCTCTTCATATCTATCTACCTCTGTCTTTTTATATCTATATATCCCTCTTCATATCTATCTATCTGTCTACCTCTGTCTGTTTATATCTATCTGTCCCTGTTCATATCTATCTATCTGTCTTCCTCTGTCTGTTTATATCTATCTATCCCTCTTCATATCTATCTGTCTGTCTACCTCTGTTTATATCTGTTGTCATTAAAATCATTGTTTGGGAAAATTGTTTTTGTTTACTTTCAGAAAATTATATTGGGTTGACCGATTTACTGCTTCTATGTATGTCTGTGAATTAAATGGCACAAATCGTGCCACTCTGTTAATGAGAAACAGTTCCGATCACAGAGGACTAAGTCGACCAAGAGCAATTATTGTTGACCCCAGTCATGGGTAAGTAACCCTTCAAACTGCTTTATTTATCATCTTCCCAGCATATTACAAAAACATTGTCTCTGGCAAAATATTTTTTCTTGATACCATTAAATATCTTTTGAAATATCCTGTAGCCTTCTATTTAGTCTAACAAATTATCTAATTGGATTAATAGTACTGGAAGGAGCAATAACATATACTGGTCTTGAGAAACCTGTTTTCATGAAAAATTATTTTGATAGGAATCATTCCTTTCATATTTCCCTGGTGAAATGTAATTTCAAATCAAGCAGCTTCTTCCCATATGGAATTGACTCCCAAGAGGTTGCTTCCCTGATCCGTACAATCTAAACCTGTTCAACCTGTTGTAAACCATTATTGTCCACATATATCCACATAAGCTGTACCTCTTAATCTGTAACCCTCTACCTTGAGTGGCCCTCGGACCTTGTACAGGGTGAACACCACTGTAAAAAAAAAATCATAGTTTCTGTTTTGGAAAGATTTATCTTGAGAACCTGAAAACTTGAGACCTATTCTTAGTGTAAGTTACTTTCACTTACTTGCTTGGGAGCGGTATTAATGAGGGTTAGTAACAATGTAACGTTGGGTGAACAGATAATGTTTGAGCTGTAGGTGAAGAAAGGAATATTCTCAATTCATTTCCCCATTATGAGTATTATTACATTCCTGATAAAATAACACTTTAATGCACAGACAGAATGAAATAGCTGAAAATGAAAGGAATGATAAACAGGCTTTGTTCTCACAGAGAGTTTTATACCATTATGTCATACATAAAATTATGCATATTTACATGTGTTTCATACAGGGAAAATGTAACACATGTATACCAAACAAACAGTGTGAAAATGAGGACTACAAGCCCGAGATAGTTTCTATATCTGGTGAAGATATATTCTCAAACGAAAAGGTGCCATGGGCTTGTAAGCTGCCTACATGGCAGCTGGCAGTCTTAGGCAGGGTGCGGGGGTAGTGCTAATACTAAAAAAAGCAACTGCTAGGTTTGACTCCTGGAAGCTGACTGATGGACTGGCTACTTTCATCCTTCTATGACGATGTCACATAACTTTATTTCATATCCCTCCAGTATGAATCCATTATTCCCCACCCACAGCTATGGGTAAATAGGAGGACAAACTGGGTTCTATAGCCTTGGGTGGCAACCAGTCTGGCAGAAGGACAACTCTAAATTTAAAACCTGAGTGGTCGGTGACTAAACTGGAGACTCCACCAAACCCTAGCTTGGAGAGAAGGGTAAGTGGAACCCTCTCCCGAGCAGCACAAAAAAACGAGCTGTTAAAGGGAGAATGAACTTCTCAGAGTCAATGGCCCACTCTAATTAACCTCACCAACCTGCAAGTAGTAAGTATGGCTACACTCATAAAGTCTTGGATTTGGATTTGGTTCTTAAATAACCTCATCAGATTCAGACTTTTATATGTATGTTGTGCATGGCATCAGACTGATTCAAAAATATCTAAAATGTCAGGTGTATACAACTGCTTTCTAAGATCAATGATTAAAAAAAGGCTTTGAACAATGTGGATCATCGAACATTGTGAACTGGCACTACAGAATCACAAACAAAATCTACCTCTGTCTGTTCATATCTGTCTACCTCTGTCTGTTTATATCTATCTATTCCTCTTCATATCTGTCTACATCTGTCTGTTTATATCTATCTATTCCTCTTCATATCTGTCTACCTCTGTCTGTTTATATCTATCTATTCCTCTTCATATCTGTCTACCTCTGTCTGTTTATATCTATCTAGCCCTCTTCATATCTGTCTACCTCTGTCTGTTTATATCTATCTATTCCTCTTCATATCTGTCTACCTCTGTCTGTTTATATCTATTTAGCCCTCTTCATATCTGTCTACTCCTGTCTGTTTATATCTATCTAGATAACAGAAATCACATCACTTGAGAACTTTCCACAGCAGCAAAAAATAATATAGACAGAATAATGATGTTGACATTCCTCACTACCCCAAACAAAAGGCAAGGAAGGAAATGCCAATCAGTACTGGAAAAAGCAATGACTTCTACTAGATTTCATTAACCTATTTTCCTGAAAAATTGTTTTAATAGATTTTTTATATTTCAACTAACAGCAGCATTAACTGCTCAGTCAGTGAATGCCAATTTTTATTTATTTGTTTTTACTAATATTCACCTTGAGAGCCACTCAAGATGGAGGGTTATTGAAAGAGTTTGTTGGGTGAGTGACAAAAGTAAGTGATAAAAGATACAGTTTATGAGGATATGTGGGAAAGATAATTGTTAATCCTTGACTTGAAGAGGTTAAGATGGTAATGGTTTGGAAAGCATCCTCTTGGGAGTCAGTTCCATAAAGTAGACACAAAAGTTAGGAAGGGCCGATCTATACTGGAAAGAGCAATAACAGTTACTGGACTTGAGAAACTTATTTTTCTGAAAAATTGTTTTTATAGATTTTAGATATTTCAATTGAAAGTAGTTGTCCTGGGTAAGATGTTAAACTATATCCATGTCCTTGGTAAGACGTTAAACTACATCCAGCAGCAAGGCCTCTGATCAGGAGATTTTGAGGAGCGTGGAACCACCTCTTAATTGCTGGTGTTCCCAGGTCCACCCTGACCCGAGGTGGTAGCACCTGTTAGGGTCCCAGCTATGTGCAAATAGTTAACTATTACCAGCAATACAATTTTGAAGAAAATATATTACAAGAAACAGATTTTTGACAAAACAAAATATTACCAGCAATAAAAAATATTGTCGGCATTAAATAAGCCATTGAGGTTGATATGCCGTAAAACAAAATAAACCAAACCAATCTAAACCAAAGAATACATATTCTATTCAGATGAATCTATCCTAAAAATGTTGTCAGAATTAAATAAGCCATTGAGGTTGATATGCCATAAAACAAAATAAACCAAACCAATCTAAACCAAAGAATACATATTCTATTCAGACGAATCTATCCTAAAAATGTTGTCGGCATTAAATAAGCCATTGAGGTTGATATGCCGTAAAACAAAATAAACCAAACCAATCTAAACCAATGAATACATATTCTATTCAGACGAATCTATCCTAAAAATGTTGTCAGCATTAAATAAGCCATTGAGGTTGATATGCCGTTAAATAAAATAAACCACACCAAACCAATCAACTGAAAGTAGCACCGGCGACTCAGTGAATTCTGAATGTTTTCTTATAAGGAAACAGCTAATATTGCCGTTGCCAATAGAGTCAAGGTGAATGGATACTTCACTTTGATCTTAAACCAATATCACATACAAATAGAGATAATGTTGTCAGTGGCTAAATACTGGTTGTAGCAAATATATTACTAAATTTCACCAGGTACTTAAAAGTTTTACCATCTTCATAATAAACCAAATGGCTGTCGGAATTGTACATTTTTAGTGGTTTATTAGTACATGAGTAGTTAAATATGAACAAATGTCTTAATATGTCAAATACATGATTCTCTTTTCATTAACAGATATCTTTATTGGTCCGATTGGGGAGTCCAGCCTTGTATTGGCCGACTTGGAATGGATGGCTCTGGTTACACTCTTATTATCACAGAGAAATTAGGATGGCCGAACGGATTAACAATTGACTATGAAACTAACAGATTATGGTGGGCTGATGCACATTTAGACTACATTGAGTGAGTATATATATTTTTTTACTTCCACCGACCTAAGAATTTTGCTTTTATGCCATATTACTTTAAGTTCATTGTTGACAAAAATAAGATAATTTGTCTTGGAGATACTTTTTATACAAGATCTAATTGGATTACTGAGCAAGTTCTCTGGTCTCTTTCTGTATGCCATGTCCCTTCAGGACGTAGGTGATCATGGCTCTCCACAATTTCCTCTCCTTTATAGCTCTTAATAAATTTTATCTTTTAGTTATATCTCCTAAAATTTGTTCCGCCATCCATTTACTCAAGCTCATTTTTCTTCTTTTTCTTCTTTTTCTGTGCCATGTCACTTCAGGACATAGGCGATCATGGCTCTCCACAATTTCCTCTCCTTTATAGCTCTTAATAAGTTTTATCTTTTTGTTATCTCTCCTAAACCTTGTTCCGCCATCCATTTTTTCAAGGTCATCTTCTTCTTCTATGTGCCATATTCCTTCAGGATGTTGGCGATCATGGCTCTCCACAACTTTCTGTCCTTTTTAACTCTTAATAAATTTTGTCTTTTTGTTATTTCTCATAAACCAGCCATTTACACAAGCTCACCAAGTAGGTTTTGCATTGTTTTCCTCTGTCCCTCTTACCTTCAATCTGTCCTGTGAGTATCAGATTTTCCGGGCCCTATTTCCTCATTATTTGAAATTCCTAGAAATTTCGGCTATCTCTTCCTGATGTTAAGTATAAGTTTCTTCTTTTTGTTTCCATTTACTCTAAAACTTTGTCATTGTTCACATGTTTGGTCCATGGTATCCTCAGCATCCTTCTGTAGTGTGTGTGTGGGGGGGGTAGACTGTTTTCATCCCACTGCCCATGTCTATGAATATCTTGCCTAGTTCTTATTTTTAATACTGCCCAGTTATAGCTTGCCCATTTCCATGGAGTCCAAGTAGACACTGCCCAATCCAGGGATTGAACCCATGTCAACAAATTTATGTACAAATGCTTTAATCAACTCGGATTATTGTGTTTGTCAGTGGAAATGTTTAGGCACTTACTCGGATGTTTCACATGACTGTTATCACTCAAAGAATTTCCAGGTATCATGCAGGTTGAAGACATAGAAGGTGACACTATGATTTCCTTTGTGTGGCACATAGACAATCAAAACTCTCCAAAGAGTGCAATCTAAAAGGTAAGAAACAGAGAAACTTTGCTAGAAACAAGGAAAGGAATACTGAACTGTTATGTGTCCTCCAATATGGCAGTGAGTGCTAGACAATCTCCCCCAAAATGAAGAAGAGACTTGAAGCAACAGAAATGACATTCTCCAGAAGGATGCTGAGGATGTGATGGACCAAACATGGGAGCAACAACAAAGTTTTAGAGAAAATGGAAACAAAAAGGAAACTTATACTTAACATCAGGCAGAGGCAGTTGAAATTTCTAGGGTGCATAATAAGAAAGGATGGCTTGGAGAATCTGATACTCAAAGGACAGATTGAAAGCAAGAGAGATAGACAGAAACAATGCATGACATAGTGAGGTTGAGTAAATGGATGGGAGAAGAGGGTTTAGGAGAAATAACAAAGTTTATTAAGAGCTACAAGGGACAGAAAGTGGTGGAGAGCCATGACTGTTTACATCCTGAGAATTGTTATGGTTTCATGACATAAAAGCCAGTGAAAATAGGTTTACCATGAGCAGATGTATCGTAAATATTAGATTATCAATTTGGTGTCTACAATTCATAGCTCACATTTTGACAATTTCTATCTGAATTTTAGGGATGCGGAGTTAACACATTTCAGCCATTGAAAGAAATCCTAATGAAAAATGAAGAATACTTGACAATGCTTGATCTAATGAAAATTGCAGATAATATTACTACTACTAATACTACTAGTGAAAATAAAGCAATTGAAATGAAGATGAAAGAAATCCTAGTGAAAAATGAAGAATACTTGACAATGCTTGATCTAATCCAAATTGCAGATAATATTACTACTACTAATACTACTAGTGAAAATAAAGCAATTGAAATGAAGATGAAAGAAATCCTAGTGAAAAATGAAGAATACTTGACAATGCTTGATCTAATCAAAATTGCAGATAATATTACTACTACTAATACTACTAGTGAAAATAAAGCAATTGAAATGAAGATGAAAGAAATCCTAGTGAAAAATGAAGAATACTTGACAATGCTTGATCTAATCAAAATTGCAGATAATATTACTACTACTAATACTACTAGTGGAAATAAAGCAATTGAAATGAAGATGAAAGAAATCCTAGTGAAAAATGAGGAATGCTTGACAATGCTTGATCTAATCCAAATTGCAGATAATATTACTACTACTAATACTACTAGTGGAAATAAAGCAATTGAAATGAAGATGAAAGAAATCCTAGTGAAAAATGAAGAATGCTTGACAATGCTTGATCTAATGAAAATTGTAGATAATATTACTACTACTAATACTACTAGTGGAAATAAAGCAATTGAAATGAAGATGAAAGAAATCCTAGTGAAAAATGAAGAATACTTGACAATGCTTGATCTAATCAAAATTGCAGATAATATTACTACTACTAATACTACTAGTGGAAATAAAGCAATTGAAATGAAGATGAAAGAAATCCTAGTGAAAATGAGGAATGTTGACAATGCTTGATCTAATCAAAATTGCAGATAATATTACTACTACTAATACTACTAGTGGAAATAAAGCAATTGAAATGAAGATGAAAGAAATCCTAGTGAAAAATGAAGAATGCTTGACAATGCTTGATCTAATGAAAATTGTAGATAATATTACTACTACTAATACTACTAGTGGAAAAGATGAAAGAAATAAAAATGAAATTGAAATGAAGATGAAAGAAATCCTAATACTACTAGTGAAAAATGAAGAAATGAAGATGAAAGAAATCTTGAAAATGAATGCTTGATCTAATCAAAATTGCAGATAATATTACTACTACTAATACTACTAGTGGAAATAAAGCAATTGAAATGAAGATGAAAGAAATCCTAGTGAAAAATGAAGAATACTTGACAATGCTTGATCTAATCAAAATTGCAGATAATATTACTACTACTAATACTACTAGTGGAAATAAAGCAATTGAAATGAAGATGAAAGAAATCTAAAATAAGGTGAAAAATGAAGAATGCTTGACAATGCTTGATCTAATCAAAATTGCAGATAATATTACTACTACTAATACTACTAGTGGAAATAAAGCAATTGAAATGAAGATGAAAGAAATCCTAGTGAAAATGAAGAATGCTTGACAATGCTTGATCTAATGAAAATTGCAGATAATATTACTACTACTAATACTACTAGTGGAAATAAAGCAATTGAAATGAAGATGAAAGAAATCCTAGTGAAAAATGAAAGAATACTTGACAATGCTTGATCTAATCAAATTGCAGATAATATTACTACTACTAATACTACTAGTGGAAAATGAAGCAATTGAAATGAAGATGAAAGAAATCCTAGTGAAAAAAATGAAGAATGCTTGACAATGCTTGATCTAATCAAAATTGCAGATAATATTACTACTACTAATACTACTAGTGGAAATAAAGCAATTGAAATGAAGATGAAAGAAATCCTAGTGAAAAATGAAGAATGCTTGACAATGCTTGATCTAATGAAAATTGCAGATAATATTACTACTACTAATACTACTAGTGGAAATAAAGCAATTGAAATGAAGATGAAAGAAATCCTAGTGAAAAATGAAGAATACTTGACAATGCTTGATCTAATCAAAATTGCAGATAATATTACTACTACTAATACTACTAGTGGAAATAAAGCAATTGAAATGAAGATGAAAGAAATCCTAGTGAAAAATGAAGAATGCTTGAAATTGCAGATAATATTACTACTACTAATCTAATGGAAATTGCAGAAATGAAGATAAAGAAATCCCTAGTAAAATGAAGAATGCTTGACTAATCAAAATTGCTAATATTACTACTACTAATACTACTAGTGGAAATAAAGCAATTGAAATGAAGATGAAAGAAATCCTAGTGAAAAATGAAGAATGCTTGACAATGCTTGATCTAATCAAAATTGCAGATAATATTACTACTACTAATACTACTAGTGGAAATAAAGCAATTGAAATGAAGATGAAAGAAATCCTAGTGAAAAATGAAGAATGCTTGACAATGCTTGATCTAATGAAAATTGCAGATAATATTACTACTACTAATACTACTAGTGGAAATAAAGCAATTGAAATGAAGATGAAAGAAATCCTAGTGAAAAATGAAGAATGCTTGACAATGCTTTGATCTAATCAAAATTGCAGATAATATTACTACTACTAATACTACTAGTGGAAATAAAAGCAATTGAAATGAAGATGAAAGAAATCCTAGTGAAAATGAAGAATGCTTGACAATGCTTGATCTAATGAAAATTGCAGATAATATTACTACTACTAATACTACTAGTGGAAATAAAGCAATTGAAATGAAGATGAAAGAAATCCTAGTGAAAAAATGAAGAATGCTTGACAATGCTTGATCTAATGAAAATTGCAGATAATATTACTACTACTAATACTACTAGTGGAAATAAAGCAATTGAAATGAAGATGAAAGAAATCCTAGTGAAAAATGAAGAATTCTTGACAATGCTTGATCTAATCAAAATTGCAGATAATATTACTACTACTAATACTACTAGTGGAAATAAAGCAATTGAAATGAAGATGAAAGAAATCCTAGTGAAAAAAAATTCTTGAAATGATCTAATCAAAATTGCAGATAATATTACTACTACTAATACTACTAGTGGAAATAAAGAAGAATGTGACAATTGAAATGAAGATGAAAAAACTAGTGAAAAAAAAGAATTCTTGACAATGCTTGATCTAATCAAAATTGCAGATAATATTACTACTACTAATACTACTAGTGGAAATAAAGCAATTGAAATGAAGATGAAAGAAATCCTAGTGAAAATGAAGAATACTTGACAATGCTTGATCTAATCA